TCAGTAGGTCTGGGACAGGGTCTGGAAATATGCATTACTTTTTTTTTTTAATATTTAACCACAGTAATATTTACACATAGATAAGAGATCAAATTATTTTGAAAGGCTTATAAGAAAAACTAACAGTCCCCTGCCACTTCCTGCTCCATGTCCCAGTCCTAACATTCACAGAAAACCACTTTTAACTTAGTTGTTTCTTCCGTATTTGCCTCCATGTTTCAGAAAAAGTATGCTGACATTGCTATGCCTTCATGTTAGATGTTATCTATTGACTGCCTGTCATAGTAGACAACGATAAATCTCTCACACTTCCACATCCCACATCTGCTCTGCCATCTCCCTAATTAGTTATATTGCTGTTTTATTCATTTATTTTTTTGCTGAGGAAGATTCACCCTGAGCTAACATCCGTGCCAATCTTCCTCTATTTTTTAGTATGCAGGCCACCAGCACAGCATGGCTGCTAACAGAGCAGTGTAGATCCACGCCTGGGAGCTGAACTTAGGCCATTGAGGTGGAGCGTGCTGAACTTAACCACTACGGCACAAGGGCTGGCCCAATTGCTGTTCTATTTAAATCAATAAGCCAACAATTTATTTAGACCATATAAACATTGTTCATCACAGAATCAAGGAGGGTACTATCATTATGTTAAATTTCTTGTATAGCTTTTTGCTTTTCCTGGAGTTTCTTTCTTCTTTTTATTTTTTAAGTGCACTTTTTGGTGAGCAAGATTGGCCCTGAGCTAACATCTGTTGCCAATATTCCCCCTTTATTTCTCTCCTCAAAGCCCCAGTACATAGTTGCATATCCTAGTTGTAAGTCATTCTGGTTCCTCTATGTGGGATGCCACCACAGCATGGCTTGAGGAGCGGTGTGTAGGTCCACACCCAGTATCCAAATCAGTGAACCCCAGGCCACTGAAGCAGAGCACGTGAACTTAACCACTCGGCCATGGGGCCGGCCCTTCCTGGAGCTTCTAATTGCCTTTTCTTTTCCCATCCTCACAGCACTAATCTTTCATTCCACTCAACTCTCTCTTCTATCTTGGGTTACCTATTCTTCTAATAAGCTCCCATGGTGATTATGACACACATCAAAGTCAAAGAAGCAGGCCCCAGGGTACAGCAAAGCCCTCTGGAAAGAAGGAACTCAGAGCAGTGCGGAACAATTCACTAACAACCGTTCCCGCGTTAGGTGCAGGGTCAGGTGGATGAGGGGATACCAAGGTGAGTGAGCCAGAGTGGTGAGAACTGAGATAAACTAAAGCAAGGGAAAATACAATAATGGTTACAACAGAGACTCCTATGACATGGGAATGGAAAGGAGGAGGGGTTTATTTACAGCTCTGGGCATGGCGAAAGCTCGGGAAAGGAGGTGGCCACTGTGTCAGGCCTCAAAGCAGGACTGTGACATTAATAGACGGAGATTAGGGCCAAGAACATTCCAGGCAGAAGAAGGGAAGTGAGCAAAGGTCTGAGGCAAGACAGCCCAGGTATTTGCATCAGAACACAAGGCAGGGGAGAAGAAACCTCATTACAGAAGACCTTAACTCACCGGCTCTTCAACGTCACCCGAGGCAGCTTCTCCTCCCCTGCAAGACAAGGTCACGGTCACTCCAGGAACTGAGCAAGACCACATTCCCTAGAAAGAAAAGCCTAATTGGAGAAAAATAGAAGCATTACTATTTGTAATGTCAGGGGAGGTAGGGCCATAGTAGGACCTGAACTCGAGTACAATAGTTCAAAAATTAGGTGGATGGGAGCTGTGTCCTCAGCGAGCAGGGGACTGGGAGAGGGGGCTCTGCATGGGCTGGCTCGAGGAAAGGGTGACCTGGAAACCCCATCTCTTAAATCAGATCAAAGCTGCGGGATTCAGGGCTGGAAGCAGCTGCGAACTCTCTACCTGCCCATGGTGAGTGCCTCACGTATTAAACACTATGTAGGTAGGTGATATAAATTGTCCCCAGGCTTTCTGATAAAAAATTGTTACCCAGGTGGGAGGAGGGGGGCCTTTTCAACCTAAAACAGGAGCCAAAAGTAGTTAAGAGGCTGCGTGAGGATCTTTCAGGCTCCTTCTTCTAGAGACCAGGGGTTCCCTTGGCACCATTACCAACCCATAGAGTGTTTACTACACACACACGTACACACACGTCACCTTCTCATGGATCACACCGCTGAAAGGCTCATCACATATTGTCAGAAACACACGCTGAATTCTAAGGAGGGTTGAGGTTCTCAACGATTCACGGACAAAGCCAAGTAGAAATAAGGAATATCTTTCTTGATCTGTTTCTGATTTACGTGCCTCTTACATACTTAATGCCTAGACAGAAAGAGACTTTGACAAGTCCTCGCCAGGTTTTCTCAAAGATTACTCCATAGAGATGCCTTTTGAGATGCTCTTTGTAAAATTAAATAAGAAGAGTTTTGAGAGTCAAACAAATTTGGGGAATGTTACATATTTGCAATTTCTTCTTGGAAATTCACAATCCATATTAGCATATTAAAATCTGTGAGAAATCCCACAATAAGGAAACTTGTTTCTATTACATATCCCAGTGTTTCCCAAAATCAGTTGACCGTAAAATAAAATGTCTGTGTACAATAAGGATTAATATTCTGTGCAACTAGAGGTCAATGGAACAGTCTTTGGAAAAGGCTGACCTAGAACAACGGATTCATTTTACAGATGGGAAAACTGAGTTCTCGAGGTAGCAGTGCCCACTGAAGACCGTACAGCTAGATACTGATAGAACTGGACACGGGACTCAGATTCTTAACTTTTAGCCCAGACTCTGCCTGTTACCCCAGAATACCCAAAACTTACCCAAAGGGCAATTGTCTGTAATTATCAATGAACATCAGTGTCCATCAATCTAAAAAAGTTCTGCTCACATTCTTCTATCTTTCCTAATATAATAAGGCCATCCAGGTAAACCAGGGTTCTAAATATTGTCATCACTTTATGAAGAAGGAGGAAGGATGACGTCTTCCCCAGAACGCCATTTTTCCCCCCAGAGAAAGATGATCATTTTCCTATATTGCAAGATGCTCCTAAAGCAAAAAGTTTAGAATTAAATTCTTAGTAAGCAATAACTAAAATACTACCAAACATGTAAGGAAATAAAACAAAAGGTATACATCAGAGCTCGCAAATAAATGCCTTTGGGAGGTAACAACAAAAGCCAATGAAGCAGGGCTGGCCGGCAACGCCAATGACCTTGAGCTCTCATCCTCAGCTAAAGGGGGCGGCCCCTGGCTCAGCTGAGGTTTACGGTCGTGCGGACTTGTGAGCTCAATGTTGTCAGATCCTCCAATTTTTCAGCAGAAGTAAGATATCTGGATTTCCATTTGAAATTTCCCAATTTTAAAGTATCTTGAAAACATTGCATAGGCCCGAGAAAGTGTGTCTGCAGCAGAATATAGCCTGGGGCCCCTGTCTGGAGATGACTCCACATAAACGTGTGCTAATTAGTCTAGTTTATCACAGTGCCTGGGAGATCTGGAACACAAGAAAGGAAAGAATTACACTGGAGGCGGACAGGAAGGCACTGGAACAGTGCTTTGGAGAGAGAGTGAGAAGGGCAAGGGGAGCTGAGCAGACCCGGCAGGAAGGACTCCAGCCTGGGGAGGATGCTCTTGGGCCCTGAACAAGCCCAGGAAAGGAGCCTCAGGCTGTCCAACCGCCCTCAGCTTTGCTGCCCGCTGAGGCCTCACTTCTGCATAGGCTCCATCTCCATTCCCCTATAAGTTGACTCTCCCAGGGAGCCCTTCCTTGCAGTGTTATTTCAGGACATCCTCTGCACGTCACCACAAATAGCTCTGCACCTTCCTCCTGTGGCCTAAAATTCCTTTAAAGGGAGCCAGAACCTTTGATTCCACACCCCGAAACGAAGACTGGAAATGAAAAGTCCTGGCCAAGGCAGCGCTTAGACAAAGGCACTTTTCCTTGGGTGAATCAATTAGTCAACAAAACGTGTTGATTTCTGACTCTATGCTGTTCTGCTAAACTCAAGAAGCTCAAGGACAGAGGGACACCCCGTAAGGGCTGGGGGTGGGGGGAACGGCAGCGGGGCCAGAGAGTCAATCACAGAGCGCTTGGGCGCCGTTTCCTGGGCGGCTTGCTACATGCTCGGCTGGCAAGGCACGGTCAAGCTATGTAACACCCGCCTCTCTGGCTTCATGGGATTTATAAAGATTTCTCCTTTTAATCCCCCTGGCCTTATTCAAAAGGCACACCATTTTTGAGGATTCATATTAATCAAGGGGTCACTATGGTCTGACTCTTTCGGCCCAGGCGATTCTCACCCTTCTAAGCTATTGTGAATTCTCCTAATCTCCCTGGCTAGCCTCCACTTTCTCCTCGCCCTGCCCCTGGCTCTGTACCTGGCCTCCTCATTATTCCTGTGGAAGGCAGCCCTCTTGACAAGACAAGACAGACCCTTAGTCCTCCATGCGTTATGTACAAAGACAGCAGGTGGTGAAGTGGAGAAGGGTCCTGGGTCGCAGATGGGAAAACCAGTTTGTTTTCCTGACTCTACCAACCTGTGTGAGCCTGGCCTCCAAATCTGTAAAACACGGAGGTTTGTACTTGCCTTTATCAACAATTAAACACACAAAAGGGTGTAAAGGGGTTCACAAAACACTTTCCCAACTTTCTCATCGGAGGACTTTTATTATACCCATTTTGCAGATGAAGAAAGCAAGGCTGAGTGGTCAACAAACTTCTATGATTATTGCCTGTGGCAGAACCAGGCACAGAAGGCAGCCCTTTTGGATTTAAATGTCCCATTGTGTCCATGACGTCCGTCTGCTGCTCTCGCTGCCGGCCTGACTCACGGGTTCTGAGGATCTGATGAGATGCTGTGAAAAAAGTGCCACATCAGCAACAAGACGCTCTGCGAGAGGGCAGGGGGTGAGCGCGTGGATTTTCCCAATGCTAGGGGGACCTCCCTGGTAGAACCGGGGGGACTCGGATGCGTTTTTGCTGCCGTGACCATGACAGCACCGCTGCTGCCCAAATCAGAGAATCAACCAGGAAAAATGTCCAACTGCATCAACCCAAAGCGGACTGCAGAGGCCACTGCGGCTGAAGATGAGCAGACGGTCCTGATGCTGTTGCCCTCAGCCCCAGGCTGTGTAAATACTCCCCTTAGGCTACTTGTTGTGGACAGTTACGTGACGGATGAACCCCTGATGCACGCTCAAGCCAGAAAGCATCCCAGCAGAGCGGCTCAACCACATGGCTGTACCATAAACCCAGACTTTGTTGCTCTTCTTCCTATAGCCCGCAGGAGCAAAGCAGAAGTGCAAAGGAATGAGGCCCAAGGGCACTTGGAGTTTGAGGGGGGTGAGCCTGGCAAATCTGAAGGTTTATGGCCTTTGGGCACATCCCGCCAAAGGCCTGCACCTGCTCATACGTATGGTCCTTCCCAGAGAGCCTGCAGCAGGGCGCGGTGAATGCTGGCTTGTGCTCAGGAAGCAAAAGGGTGGGCTGACTCAGGAGGTCAGGTTGACAGAGGGAGGACATAAAGGAAGAGGAATTTAGACTCACTGGAGGAAACAGGGAGCCATTGTAAGTTCTCGAATTGGAAAGTTACCTGGAATTTTCTCTCTCATAAAAGAAAAATATTTTCTGAGGTCTAAAGATGCTCCCCAAACTTACTTCTGTCCCCGAGAACTTCCAGGAAAGGTAGATGCCAGTGATCCTTGCCCTCGGGTACTGACAGTCTGGGAATAAACCATGATTCGCGCCAACCATCTTCAAAAGAGCCCAAGAGAACTCATTTTATTCCAATAAGATTTAAGAGAATATTAACTGCGAGAGACGCTTTCCTATCTATTATCTCACTTAATCTTCAAAGCTAGGCTAATGTGGGGACTTTTGAATCTATTTTAGAGATAAGAAAGCCATTCCTTTGAAGAGTCAATGATCTATGCCCCCTACCTTTTGCATCGTGCTCCTTTTAGCTCCCAGGAGCCCAGACTGGAGGCACCTCCCTGTGTGTCAGGCATCATCGCATCCTCTGGCACCTTCCGGGATTGCGTTAAATCAGTGACATGGCGGGACAGCATTGGGCTGGGCCTCTGCAGGCCTGGGTTCTAAAGCTGAAACTGCCTCTACCTGCGTTGTCTTGTACCAGTCGTTTTCCCTCGGAGGTCATTGGACCCACTCCTCTACTGCGCAGGGGAGAATTGGGCGATTTCCCAGGCTCCTCCCACTCTACTGTCTGTGTTTCTACTGCTGTGGTCTCAATCCTCCATCTGTCACCTCCAAACCAGAATTTGGTTACATCCATACACCAAGTGGATTTTCAGAGACTCAGCTCTTTCTAGGGAACTACATATCTACAGCAGCAACGCAAGCTCTTCCAGCCAGTGTGTTCAACATGGCAGATGATACTCACATGCAAAGCACAGCCCTGGGAGCACGAAATAAGTCTGACGGTGGGTTCCGCCCAGTACCTGGTGCACACACAGTAACTCCTCCCTTTCCATTCACACTCCAGAAAGCACGATGGGATCCAAGTAACCAGGTCACTCGGGAACAGAGATAGTTCTGAATCTGCTCTAATTCATTTAAAAAATAAATCATTACAAACTTATTTACTTTCCCACTAACCAGAAACAAATTATTTGAGACGGATCATAATGAACGCTGTTTTGGAAGCTGAGAACCGCTGGTGTAAGGCTCATAGTGTCAGTCCAGGTAGGCTGGGTCTGCTGAAAAAACAAACAACCCCCAAATCCCAGTGGTTTACACCAACAAATCCATTTCTAGCTCATTCTATATGTACTTTTCAGGTTGGCGAGGGGTTTCTCCTCACTGTAGGCATTCAGGGACCCAGGCTGATGGAGACGCCTGCACATGTGCTTCTGTGATCACTGAAGCAAGAGAACAAGAACTGAGCGGACAGTAGTGGATGTTGGCTGTTTACGCTTCTGACCAGAAGTGACACGCCTCATTCCCACTCTCAATTCACCAGCCAAAGAAAGTCATACAGCCAGGCCCAGGTTCATGAGGGCAGGACTGTACCATGCTCCCACAGGGAGAGACTCCACATGTCTGTGAACAGTAACAATAAAGCAGTCTGCCACATTCCCCAATCCCTCTTCAAAACCACCTGGGATACACCTAAGGGGCTAGAAACACAGGCTGTCCCTGATGGCCAAGGTTAACCCCCCTTATGGATACGTTCTCTTTATTTTGTAGGTGAAACTGGAGGAGTTTCCAGAGTCTACTACCAGCTCAAGAACAAGGTCACCACCTCACTCATGTTCTGTCCACCAGCAACCCTCACAATTTGGACAATTCGTATTTTTTTTGTTGGGGTGGGGGAAAAGATGAAAGGGTTATTTACAGTTATTCCATGAAGTCGAGTTCACAGAGAAAGCTAAAACCACTGGCTCTCTTCACGTGCCCTGAAGTCAGTGGTGCTGGAAAATGTTAACCAACTTTGTGGGGGGAGGGGAAGCCATGATTGGTAGCATTTGCTGCTTTCCATGGTATAAATGATACCAGCCCTGGTATCAGTTCCCCTACATTATACCCAGCATATGTGGGGTTAAAACCAAAAGCACTCATCCCCTTGCCCTGCTTATGCCTCAGCTTCCTGGCACCAGAATCCGCCATCCACCACGGAGGCAGACGACCAAGAATATCCACCTGCAGATTCCCTTATCTCACCATCTCCGTCTCTGCAAGCAGCCTCACAAGGCCAGACGCAGGCTGGTGGGAAAATGCCAACCAGCAAGGCCATGGGTCCCCCTCCCTACAAGCAGCCACATTCCTTGCAACCTTTGAAACCCTTTGCCTCCCATCTTTCAGGGAGATGAGATGAATTTGAGGACTCACTCTCATCTCTCAGCTGACATCACCTGAAATAAAAACCTTTTCCTTCCCATAAACCTGGCGTTCCAGTTTTATTTGGCCCCTCTTGTGTGGGTGGGTAAAGAACCTGTGTTTGTGGCCTGTAACACAAATACTCCCATCGTGGCCAATTTCAAGCTGTCAATGCGAAGTGAGCGCAGAGTTGGGAAGAGATGAGCTCTGACATCACTGCCTTTTCTTCTCTACAACTTTCATCAAATTTGTAATTACTTTCTTCGTATCTGTTTGCCCAGCTGGAATATAGGTTTTGAGAGGCGTGGATCACACCTCTTTCATTCATTGCTGTGTCCCCAGTACCTAATTTACCTTATAGGAAGCCTTTTACAAATGTTAGTGTCCCTTTCTGTGCCCTCTATCCATTCCCCTCCACATCCAACACGGTTCCTTGAAGCTGCAGGCAAGATCCCATCCACAGAGTAAACAATCGGCTCACACAGAAACAAATGAGGTTTCGGTATCTCCAACCAGGGCTCTCAAACTCTCAGGCTCCTGTGCCCCCTTGTTTAAGTTTGTGCGTCTTCTTCTTTAAAACAACGAAGATAATGTCCTCTAGTGGAATTGAAACATGTCAACTTTTGAACTGGGGAATGGAGACCCCTAGCACGTCTCACGCCCCCACATCAGAGTTTTGCTTAGTTTGTTTGTTTGTTTGTTTTTTTGTCCCAGCTAAGAACAATCTTTACAAACTCCTCTTTCAAGCCATAGGAGCCCCCTTTCATTGCCAACTTTCCAAGAATCAGAAAATATATCTGCGGTTTTCACCCGGTGGTGTTTGGCTTTTATTTTTTGTTTTAGAAGTGAACTAAATCAAAGATTGAGCATCTTAGTACTTCTGAATTCTAAATGCCCAGCATCTCTCTCATCCCTACTTCTTGCAGGTGCTTTGTGGCTGTCCATTGGGCTGAAGTCCTAAATATCCTCCTGATGTTGACAAGTGCCCTCCGCTTGGGCTGCACAGGGAGCTCCCCCAGCTCTGGGTTCCACTGGCTCAAGGTGGATGCCTCTATAGCCATCCTCATGGAGCTTGCAGGGACTCTCCATAGCAACATTAGAACAGGCAAATTCCCCACGGCCTGCCCCAGAGGGAACGGCAAAGCTGTCGGTGGTCAGTGCAGCAGGGCAGCTCGTCCACTGGAGCAGCACTGAATTAATCCCTTTGGGAGAAGCAATGATGCTTTGGGTGACTGATGAAAATAAAGGGGATAGACACAGACGGAGAATAAAGTTTATCAGTGTGTCTTTATCACGACCCTGGGAAGGGGGTACGTGCTCTAAGAAGAGAAATTGCCTGATTTAGTACAGCTGTTAGGCATGAGTCTTTGCAGAAATCCTGCCTGGGTTCAGATCTCTGCTACTTAATGGCTGTGTGACTCTGGGCAAATTACTTAACTTCTCTAAACTAGCCATCTCAAAAGGCTGCAGCGATGACTAAGAATGCACCTAGTATATAGTAAGTACTCAACAAATGGTACCTTGTTAAAAATCATCATCCAAGTTTGGGGTAAATATCCCATATGAATATATGGTCTTACTTCCGTGTTCTCTAAGCAACTTTTAGAGCAACTTAATTTGGTCTCCTAAGTGGGTGTTTCCATCAAGAAAAGAACCCCGAACAAGACTTCCTTCCTTTCTCTGGCGGGATACACAAGGCTCTGTTAGGCTAAGAGTGCATTAGTCTGGTTGGCAGATCACTTCTGTACTTGACAAGTGTAATGCATCTTTCCCAAGTCTTATCATCAGTGAACAGTATGACAAAAATCCAATTTCTGGATCTTCATAGCAAAGAAGCAGGCCGTGGACTCTTGGAGACTCCTTCTCAGGCACTGGCCTCCCTCAAGGCCCCCAAGATGATGAGTGGGCCTCCTTCTGGATGTCTCTTCAGTCTGAATTGTGTGAAGGAGATGAAGGTGGAATGTTTAAGGACTTATAAGGGCAGGTACCTCATAAGGACTTTAGACATTCCCATTAATATATAAATAATTGCCCCCACCAATTAAAACTAATTTCTGTTTGGACCACTGAAGCTAATCCCCAGTTGGCCACTGCCTGCCATACATTTATTAAATTAAAACATATGCATAATCAGTGTCCCTGAAATAGACAAAACAATGAAACAACTAATGTTTAAAGGTAAAATTCAAGGAAATGTTCTTGAACAAAAGGCCAAAATCTATATACAGAAAATTCCCTTCAAGTACCTGGAAAAATTTGCACAGTACATTCAAGTCCTAGATGTATCCTACTAAAATGGTTAAAGAAAAAATCCTCTGGGTTTCCAGGCAAAAAGAGCAAGTCACTTACAAAGGAAAGAAAATCACATTGACCACTGACTCAGTTCCCACTGATCATTGCCATGTGAGCCTAGTGGAGCCACAGCATATTCAGATTTTTATGGGAAGTATCCCAACTTTTAAGTGTTGGCAAACAATCCACACGAAAAAGAGTAACATGACAGAACGCTGTAAAGTATGGCTTCAGGCCGAATGCAGCTCAGGGACCCTCATCTGGGCTGGGAAAGAGGGGATGTGACTCTGGTGCCTCTGAGCATAGGGACACAGGGGCACGGTAAAAAGGAAAGCGGTCGTCATGGGAGGAATGACATGGCAAAGGGACACATACCACCGTGTGGGTTCAGGACTATAGGAAACTAGTGGACAGTCGTGCATCCCTTAATGACACAGATGCTTTCTTAGAAACACATTGTTAGGCAATTTTGTCGTTATGGGAACATTGCAGAGTGTACTGAAGGGGAACAAAATTTGCCCCCTCACAGTGTGTCTCTTTAATGTGAGGATTATTCTAGGATGATTATTTTTAAGAAACAAAAGACTCAGAAAGTTTTTCTTGTAACCTCCCTCTTAACTGCCTAAAACGATTCAGATTAAAACACTGTCTCCAGAAGCAAGCTATCACGTCAGCACAACATGAACGGGGTGGTACAGGGAGGAACCTAGAAAGCCTGTTTGTTGGGTTCCCCTCTTTGTCTTCTGTTTCTGTGTGGCCAAATGCTTGTTTTCCAAACGTTTTCTCCTTTTCACCCACCTGTGAATTGCCTGCATTCCCAACATTTTCTTTTGTCTTTAGCTGAGGATGGTATTTAAGGTGACAGCTTCGGCCATTTTGGTGAGTTACTTGGTTTTCCTGGGTTTCTCCCACTTACGCATGTTATTAAACTTTTGTTTGTTTTTCTCCCATTAATCTGCCTTGTGTCAATTTAACTCTTAGAAAGGCCAGAAGAACCTAGAAGGGTAGAGGCAAATTTCTTCCTCCCTTCAGTACTTACACAAACCCAGATAGTATAGCCTACTACACACCTAGGCTGTATGGTTCTAATCTTATGGGACTACCACCACATACGCAATCCATCACTGACCAAATGTCATTATGCAGCAGGTGACTGTATATGTGAAACATGAAGGCTGCTTGGAAGGGCTCAAGGAGGATGCTGGTGGGTTCCTTACATCCAACTCATGCAAGATAGAGAAACTACACTCTTAACTGTGGCTCACAAAGACTTCCTTGGGCAGGGCTCCCAGGCATGGTGGCCCATGTGATGGACACAACCATATTTTAAATCACCATGAACCTTAGACCAGAAGATTGGAAGCCTCAGAAATGGGACTAGCGCTGTCATACTGGGGAGCTCCTGGCCAGGGTGCCCCAGCTGCTGGTCATAGCTCTGCCACCTGCCACTCTCGTGACTTGGGATTAGTGCCTTCACCTTTCTGTAGCCCAATTTCCTCATCTATAAATTGATGATACCTGGCTCAAATGTTTTCAGAGGCATTTAAAGAGATTATATTTCTAAAATGCTTGAGTAAGGACAGAGTAAAGTCTTCAAGAAATGGCGAGATTGTTGTTATCACATTCTTAAACACAGCTTTGGGGAAAACGTTCTGAGCGATAACTCCTAAATACTTCAATGGAGGAGACCCTGCCCTGTTTCTAACAAAAGACGAGACCGTGACACAGAATTCTGTCTCTAACAGAAAGACTCGGCCGTGTCTAAAAGACCACGGGGGTTCTCTCAACGTAGACCTCCAAAGCATAGCTCCATCTTAAAAATACACGTACACATACTGACATTTTCATCCGGTGTAACGGCCTCGTATGTCACTTTCCTCTTTGTAAAATAGATGACACACTCGGGGCTCACTCCCTCATCCTACTGTCCCAGGGTTTGTAGAACATGTCTGTGTTGCCGTCATCCATAATCTTCCTGATCGTCAAGTCACATTTAAGGCGACTGGAAGCTCTGGAGTTGGAGGAACTTATGTATCGTACGCTTTTTTTGTAGGTGACTGGATACTGAGCCCTCTGTTTTACCTGGGATGCCTCCTCACGAAAACATACACAAATGTCAGATTACAGAGTTTCTCTCCCAGCAAGCACTCTGCCGGGTTCTGTGAAAGATGGAGAGCGTAGACATTCATCTCAGAATGCAAGGGCTTCCAGAGGAGACGGCTATGTGAATAACACCGCCCAACACCAGACCCAGGTTGGAGCCAGCAACGATAACAAAAAGTAACACTTACAGGTAGCAGACGCTCTGCCGGGCCCTTCCCACGCTTAACGCACGTAATTCCTCAACCACCCTGTGCACGCCTCACTAGTGTTCCATTTTTGCAAACGAGGAAACAGATCCAGAGAGGTGAGGGCTGCAGCTCAAGGGCACGCAGTTAATAAGAGATGGGCGCAAACCCACGACACAAACTCAAACCCACGACACAAACTCAGCACCGTGGCTCCACAATTTGTTCTCTTGGTCATCAGTAGACAGCACCTTGGCTGGTCTCTGGGATTTGCCATCCAAAATCCAGGTCCAAATTGGGTAGAACCAGGAACTGGCGCTTCACCAGGCTGCCCCCAGCAGGAAACCCTGGATCATAGGCCTGCACCCTTTCCTAACTGAGCCTTCTGTGGACAGCCTCGCCTGGGCTTCTTTCGCCCTCCACATGGCTGTATTTGTCATGGCCGTGAGCAGATACCCACCTGGAATTCACAGAGAGGCAGAAGGTACAGAAGGGCAACTGGCACTTTCAACACAACTTCCCGGACCTCAGGCTTCAGAAAGCATTTAGGAAACAGAAGCTGCTCCCAGCCCTGCTGGGCATGCCCTCGTGTGTGTATCTGAGCACTGCCGCCAGGTGCCCCAGTCCAGGTAAACCTTCCACTCACCACCTCATCCTCCACTAAACACCAGTATCTTTAAGTGAGATAGTGCTTACAGAAGATATCAACCATTGACACTTTAGTATAAATTAGCACCTTAAGCTTTCCTGATGGTGAGTTTAACAAGGGTAACAAAGAAACAGAGTATTTGAGTGCTAAGAGTAAAAGAAATTGAAGAAAGGGGAAAGCAAGGGTTTAACCACAAAGAATGTAGAATGTGTTGTCCACACAGGTTTGTTGACAGAAGAGTCCAGAAATTTTTTCCCTTAACTGACACACACAAATTGATGGTATGTGTGACTATCCCATACTTTCTTTTTTATTTTAATCAAGAAGACATGAATTTAAAAACAAGTTTTTTGTTATTTTAGAAATATTTTTTCTTCAAAATTTTCTAATTTCTGCCTATTGTGAAAACAGGAAGGATAATCAGATGATAAAACAAAATGAGGACAGTCGAATGGAATGACATCTTATCACAGTTAAGTGGAACAAATGTTTGAATTGTGGTGCTTAAATTAAATGGCCAGGCCCTTTTGCTTCTAAAAATAAACATTGTTAACCGTGGGAGTCTTGTTTGAAGTGGTGGTGAGCTGCCTACTTCCTACCGCGTTAGTTACAATATTGTATCAATTTATCTTGTATTTTAACCTAACATGTTTCTGAGGCCACAAGTTGTTAGACACAGAATTTGGGCTTTTGAAAAAAAATGGACTGCCTAATTCTAACAAACCTAAGTATGTCCTCGCTCAGATTCATTAAAAAAAAAATGTTTATGTGTTTAGTGAACACATCTTTTCTGGAAAAAACCTGAATCTTTCAAATAGAAACACTCAATCTCCTGGTGCTGAACTGTAGCACAGACACTGTCACAGAGTAAGGGAGAATCACACCAACTTCCTCACATCGGGGACTCAAGTCAGGTACCTGCCTGCAAGTGAGGTTCCCGTGGGATTTTGTAATTTGTTGAACCAAGCATATTTGAAGAGACATTAAACGGATTTTTTCCAGAATAAACCCAATGCAGAGAAAGCGTGCTGGGGGCCCTGGGGACCTCAGAGCAGAAGGGTTTGTACCCAACGGTACACACAGTGTGCATCTTCTTGTACGTGATTTGTCACTCCTGTGTGTCCACATGGGTAGATCCGCCAGCCCTGTCACAATATTGAGTCAGCGTCTGGTCCCGGAGAGAAGAAAATGTGCCAGGAATGTCCCCAAAGAGACGCTCGCTGAGTTCTCTCAAAAAAAAAAAACAACCAACATATCTGCGGAGACTGCGGCTGAAGGTGTCAAGGAAGAAATGAATTTTCTGGAGCCACGCAAGAGAAGCTGACATCATCGGATGGCACAGGTGGCACCTGGAAAAAGGAGCCAGTGATCAGTTAAACACCAGAGCAGGACACAAGGTGGTCAGTCCCTGAGGCCCAAGTCAAACCTGATTCTTTGCTACATCCTCTGAGCTCCCAAGGCACTTGGCTTCCTTCTAGATTTTTTAAATGTCAATTTTATTAAAGCATAACATACATAGAGAAAAGTACACAGACCCTAAGTGTACAGCTTAATGAGTTTTTGGACAGTGAACGTAGCCGTGTAACCACCCCCAGATTGAGAATCGGGACCAAGGTGTCTCATTTCCATCTGTCTTTGCTCTAGGACAGACCCAGGTGGATTTCATTCCTCAGTGTTGCTGAAACATATCTGCTCCCCTTTACACATCGGTTCCCCTTTTATAGATTGTAAATTATTTCTCTACAGCAAGAACTGTTCTCTGTACCCACCCCCCAGCATCTAGAACAGTGGTTCACAAACAGAAACCCCCCCCCCCCCCACATATATGCTTACATATCTGTATGTGTGTATACAGAGAGAGGTAGCTATCTAGCAAATGGATATATATATACTCTGTCAGATAGACTTTTTTTTTCTTTTTTAGCATTTCGTGGGCAGTAATACAGCATGTGATTAAGAGCATGGACTCTGGAGCCAGACTGCCTGAACATAAATCTGGGCTCCTCACCTTGACCTTGAGCAAGTCACTCGTGTCTCAATGCCTCAGTCTTCTCATCTGTAAGAGGAGAGAATCATCCTACCATCGTAAGGGTTGTGAGGACTAAGTGCGTGAGTGTAGGTGAAGATCTCAGGACAATGCCTGGTGCTTAATAAGCACAAAGGGAGGACTAACTAACTGCTGGGATCTACCACGTGCAAAGCGCAGCCTCGGTCCGTGGGTGTATAAGGACACAAGAGAGAGTCTGAGCCTCGCCAAGGGGTTGGGGGAACAACAGTGAAACCTCAGTGACCGTATCTGAGGGGAAGCCAGGGTCAAACGAGCGCCAATCCACGCACCATTAGCCTGGGAGCCATCCATTGTGCGTCACCAGCCAGTAAGCTTTATCAGGTGTTCACAACGTTGCGGGCGCTGTGCCGTTTCTCCTAGAAGTAAGGAGTCCGCCTTCTTCCTTTGACGGTTTTAGCAAAATGCCTGTTGTTACAGAACCGGTCCACGGTTACCATCTACTTATTGCACCAGCACACAAGCCAGTTTCCAGAGCATCAGTTGTCCTGAGAAACAAACCCGTCGCCAGAAGCAGCAAGCTCTGGCCTCAGTGATCTTCCCAGCCAGGCTCGAAGAACCTCAGAGCGAGGGGTCCGTGCCCCCTCCCACATGCGGGTGGCAAAGGAGGGCGGCAGGTGACTTGAGGTGGCTGGGCAAGAACAAGCAAGCTGTTCACAGACGATGAACTGAGAGAGCAGCAGTTTGACGCCAGAGAGCCAACTATTTTTCCAGAATTAGTGAATTCAGCCCTAAACTCACTCAAGTGGCTCAGAGTCCAGCTTACTGATTGTTTTCGGGGAATTGACAGCTTAGCTGCGTTTCTGTCAGCAGACCGACCCTCTGCTGGGTGGTCTGGGCTGACAGGTCTTCTTTGAAGACCAGAGTAAGGTCTCAGGGAGCTCCTATCAGCCAGGCTAGTTCTGCTTGCTCATGTAAACGTTTTTCACTCATTCAACACCTGTGAGGGAAACGTGCAGATAAAGCCCTGTGTGGGTGCCCTGGAGACACAGGGTGACTGAGAGCTGGCCCTGCCCTGTGGAAACAATTTATTGTTGCCCTGCAGGAGGAGGGTGGGGAGAGATTGGAAACCAGCTAAGGTTAAAGGTCAAAGGACGTTTCCCTCCCTGAGATGGCTGACTGACAACCTTATTCATTCTTGTTAAGTCAACTGTGCTGCCTCAGAAAGACGGAATATCAAGGTGGGGCATGAAAAAGTAGGGGTTTGCATTCAGTGGTCACATGAAGCGGGAGAGAGCCATCTCCCACACTGTGAAACAGGAAAGAAAAGAAGACAGCATCTGGAAACAGAACTGGGGAGGCCAGGTGAGATCACAGGCTTGTCAGACAGGATCCATCTGCTTCTCTCTTTCTCTCTGTTTCATTACTTTATTTTCCCTTTTCAATTAAGAAATATTTCAACATATACAAAATAGTCTAACAGAAACGCATGTACCCACTGGCCAGATTTTTTTTTTCTAAATGCATTTCTTTTTTTCTTAAAGATTGGCACCTGAGCTAACAACAGTTGCCAGTCTTCCCTTTTTTTTTTTTTGGTTTTTCTCCCCAAATCCCCCCAGTACATAGTTGTATATTTTAGTTGTGGGTCCTTCTAGTTGTGGCATGTGGGACACCACTTCAACGTGGCCTGATGAGCGGTGCCATGTCCACGCCCAGGATCCGAACTAGTGAAACCCTGGGCCGCCTAAGCGGAACGTGTGCAAACTTAACCACTCGGCCATGGGGCCGGACCCCTGACTGGTCAGATTTAACAGAAGTAAATGCTTTATCATGGTTGCCACATCTCTGTCTTTTTAAAAAGGAAAAGAAAAGAAATAAAATGTAAGAGATACAGCTAACGCCCCACACCCCCTCCCCATCTCTCGCTCCTTGCTCTCTTCCAAGAAGTAACCACCATCCGGGGTCATTCCACATTTACCACGAACTATGTGTGAAAGTGTCTTGTGTGGCTTTACATTCTACGTGACTGACATCATCTTACGTTGGGATGACATCATCTTACGTTGGGATCGTCTCTTCAAAGGAGGCCAGACAATTTTTTTTCCAACTTTTTATTGTAAAATACACATAACATAAAATTTACCATCGTAACTATTTTTAAGTGCACAGTTCAGCGGGCATTAAGTACATTCACAGTGTTGTGCAACTGTCACCACCATCCACCCACGGAACTCTGCTCATTTGCGAAACTGAAACTATATTCATGAAACACTAACTCCCCATTCCCCACTCCCCCAGCCTCTGGTAACCTCCATTCTGCTTTCTGTCCCTATGAATTTGACCACTGTAGGCCCCTCATGTAAGTGGAATCATACACTACTTGTCCCTTTGTGACTGGCTTATTCCACTGAGCCGAATGTTCTCAAGGTGCATCCATGTTGTAGCGTGTGTCATAATTTCCTTCCTTTTTAAGGCTACATATTCCAATAATTATTTTAGATGTCAGGCTAGCCAACACCCACCATCCTGCTCCATTCTTGCTTCCCCCTCTACAACAGCCCTGCCACCTGTGCATGAATGCCTCTGTGGATCGGGAGCACTCGCCCTTCCAAAGGGAGATGGGGAGGGGAAGCAGTCTCCCACAGCAAAACAAGTGCTGGTCCTGGCTGGAAAGAAGGACCGAGCTGACAGCACCCACATTTCAGCCCAGAGAACATGCACGGGAGGCGAGGAGATGATACTGACCCAACAATGTACTGTTCATAAAAGTATATATACACACATTACCTGACTTGGTCCTGGCATCCTTCACCTCTGAACCCTGTCCAGGGTCCTCAGGAATGGGCCCTGACATACACTGAGGGAAGGCAATGAGGAGAACAAACACAGACTAGGGAAAAGTTGCCAGGGAGAAACAGAAACCATCAGGCCCAGCAAGGGGCCAGACCCATCCTGGGTGTTGTGTACACGTCGCCTCTT